GGATGGCCTTGGAGGTCAGAACAGCCAGATTTAGCAAATAACTTTGGACTGTGTGTTGGACGTTTACAGTCTGTTTTGCGACGCTTTAGGATGCATCCTGAAAATTTGGCACAGTATAACGCAATTATTCAGCAGCAGCTTCTAGAGGGAATCATTGAGTTAGCTCCGCTCGGGACTACGGGATCGTTCGTAAATTATATTCCACATTAGCTAGTTTTTTCGGAAACTCATGAGCACACAAAAGTAAGAGTAGTTTACGATGTAAGTGCAAGCTCATTGCCAAAAAAATCGCTGAATGATAATCTCTTTCGGGGAATGGTTTTCTTGCCGGAACTGGTAAGGAACTTTCTGCGTTTTCGATTACCGAAAATAGCATAGTCGCCGATTTGGAAAAAGCATTTCTGCAAGTCACCTTGAATGAAAAAGACCGAGATTTCTTTAAATTTCTTTGGATTAACAATCCAGAATTACCACTTTCGGAAACCAATCGCATAATCAGCTATCGTTTCTGTCGAATATTTTTTGGGAGCTGTATCATCGCCATTTTTACTCGCCTCTGTCATTCTACATCATCTTTTGTAATGTAGCTCTGGCTGGAGTTCAAAAATAGCGACCAATATTTATGTAGACAATGTCCTCTTACTTTTGGAAACAGAAGGGGAAGCACTCGAAGCGTATCAGGAATCGAAACAAATTTTCTTATCAGCCAAGATGAATTTATGCGACTACATTTCAAATTCCACATTCGTCAGTGAAAAGATAAAACCAGAGGACCGTTATCCCACGCAGAATGTCAAAGTCCTTGGCCTGATATGGAACGTCTTTGACGATATGCTCATAGTAAAAACGCTTGCTTCTTCTAAAGAAACCCTAAGTAAAAGAATTGTTCTTAGATTTCTTGCGCGACCCTCTGATCCCTTAGGGTTACTAGCGCCATCGACGCTTCTTTTGAAGATCTTGCAAAATAAACATCACTAGGGAAGAAAGGTCGTGAGGCGCGCGAATTTCAAAGGCGAAGCAGCAGGAATGGGACGAGTTGATGTCTCATTAGAAAGTACAGTCCTTCTCAGTACCGAGTAGGGCTTGTACTGAAGAAATTGAATGGCACATTATTACAGACGCCTCTTCTCGTGCAAATTGCGCAGCTGTCTATGCGCGTTCAAAAACTAACAGTGCTTCTCCAAGTTTGCTCATTATTTCGAAGTGCCGCATATCTCCAATTCAAGGTTTGACTTACCACGCTTGGAGCTCTTAGGAGTTTTGATCGGTGTTCAAATTTCCCAATTGATTGCGAAACAGCTTCGTTTAAGCAATATGCATTTTACTTTGTGGTGCGACAGCAAATGCGTTCTTTCTTGGATCGAAGTAGAAATCGATGACAGTTTACCACGGTTTGTTAAAAATCGCCTCAAAGAGATAAAAAACGCAGCAAATATTACATACAGGTACATCACCACAGCTGAGAACCCAACAGTTCCGGCAACACGCGGACTGTCTCCATCGATGCTTTCCGCATCAATCCGGTAATGCAACGGTCCAGATTGGCTTTCTAAAACTCGCTCAAATTGGCCTCGTTTCGAAGTACCTAGATCGGATTCCATTCAATAAGAGCAGTTTATCAGTGCAGCTGTTAGTGATCTTATTCAAATTTCATGTAGCGTTAATGCAGCAGGTGCGAACACATTTTCGACGTTTTACCTAATTGATGTAGAACGTTTCAGTTCATGGAATACGCTTATTGACACAGCCGCATACGTACTGTGTTTCCTCCGTAAAATTACACGCATGCTTGCTACTTGGCTTGCACCTATCTCTAGATCTGGGGTGTTCCAAAACATCTGAAAATTGCACAAAATTGTTTGTTTCGCCAAACACAGCGCCACATCAGCGAATAGGAAGTGATTAAATGGGATTTATTCCTAGATAAGGACAAACTCTGGCGATGTGGGGGTCGTCTTACGACAACTAGATTGCCACAGCAAGAAAAACGTCCAATATTTTTACCGCGACAGAGTCGAATAACATAGCTTTTACTTTTACATGTGCATCAGTCGCTGTTGCGTAGCGGTGCTCCAACAACTTTTGGTCAATTTTGCAAATTATATTGGGCTCCCGAAGGCGCCGAGGGACAAAACTAGTAATACAAAGGATGTGCATGTACTGTCGTCAGTGGACCGCAAAACCCTTTAAGCTCCCCGAAATGCCTGCATTGCCGGAATGTTGTGTAGTACCAGGATACGCCTTCTCCACGACAACTGTAGATTACTTCGGACCGATAAACGTATTTAATGGCACGGTTATGATAAAAAGATGGGTTGCTTTATTTACCTGTACTACAACTCGAGCAATTCATTTGGAATTGGCAGATAACCTTTCAGCAAATAGCTTCATCGACTGCTTGCGTGAATTTATCGGACGATGCGGGACACCGCGTACCATGCTGTCCAACAATGCATCCAATTTTGCATTAACAGTCAAAGACACACTGAAGAATTTCGCAAGTCGTCAAATGATTGAGTGGAAATTCATTGGAACCGTGGCCCCTTGAAAAGGTGGTATTTATGAGCGCCCAATAGGTATAACAAAAAATTCTCTTCGTCGCGCAGCTGGTCGACGAAAAATTAGTGACTCAGAGTTGCGAACACTGTCATCAGAAGAAGGACGAACAATAAATGCATGCCATCTGACTTATGTTTCAAGCAATTCAATGGATATCTTGCGACCGATTGATTTTTTGTTACCAAAGGCTTCTCTAATTCTTGAGGTGCCCTTGTTGTGGAGGAGGAACTGCTTTGTTGGTTCCTCAGGTCGCTTTTCCCCACAACAATAATAATTAAATTGAATTTCTGGTTCGTGTCCTCAAGTATCTCCAGTGCGCGCTAGTTGGTTAATACTGCCAGCAAATATTGATAAATCCCCGACTTTGGCGGCTAGCAAGAAGCGTGAATACCACCAGGCGTTGATTCGTAGGTCAGC